ACTTTGAAGTCGCGCAGCACGGACGAAATTATACAACAGCTTCAAACGCGCTGGATCAGCATTTTCGGACCTCCACGCCTGATTGTTGCAGATCAAGAAGGTGGTATTGCGAATGATCACATTGCAGCATGGCTTGAGAGAAGGGGAATTGCTTTGACCCTGCGTGCGCCTGGACAGCACGCTCAGGTGGTTGAGAGACATCACGAAATTCTGCGGCAGCAGCTTCACAAGATGGAACAGCAGACGACTGATGACGGACTGCGAGTCGGATTTGAGGAAATTCTTGCAGAATCCATATTCGCAAAGAATGCTCTGACGACCTGTGGAGGATACAGCCCCTTTGAAGCAGTTTTGGGACGCACTCCACCGATCCTCAACGTGCTGGCAGAGGAAACCGGTGAGCTGCCAGATGATCGGGACGCTTTCCGCTTGCGACACGCCGCCGTAGAATCCATGATACAGGCTACAGCTCAGGTTCGCGCGAGCAGGGCGGAGCGGCACAAGACACGCCCAGCAGGCGAGCTTACAGATTTGCAGCCTGGCGATCAAGTTGAATTCTGGCGGCGACCCAGCAACAAGGACATCGAAGCTTGGCGTGGTCCAGCACAAGTCACAGATGTGACCTCCATGAGTGACGGTATCATTGGCACCAGGTGGCAAGGCAGAAATCTTTTGTGTCGGGTTCAGGACGTACGCCGAGCATTGATCTACTTGCAGTTGTTGTCACAACATCGGGCGCATGATGATCCTCTGACGATCCTTGTCATGGCAGTGGAAGATCATCAGGGTTTCCATGTGCGCCTAGGTTGGATTCCTCATCAAGGAGATTGGATACAGTGCGAAGCCAATAGACAGATGTCGCATGTTCTTTGTGCTGGGTTATTCGTGGCAGAGAACGCGCTTATGATCAAGGGCGCATACGGCATTCGTTTCGGTTGTGGCTGTCAGTCCCTGGCAGCAGTCAGCTGCGATGAGACTTACTTGCTTTGGTGGCCGCGAGGGAAGTTGCAAGAATGGCAGTATTGCTATGCCCCCGGAACATCGCATGTAAACGTGCAGCGTTTGACTGGTTGCAGCCCGGAACGAATGTGTGTTTTGCAGTTTCTCATCACCGCAGATGGACGATTTCGGAGTTTTGACAGCTTGTCGGATGAACTCTTCGAGCATCGCCATGGTGGAAGTGTGCATACATCGGCGACAAGCACAGGCCCAGGCAGATCCAGGGTCAGGATGATTTTGGACGGGGCCGCAGCAGATGCATCGCTTTCACAGTCGGCAGAATTCGAAGAACATCCCGCTGGCGTTCCGAGTTTTGATATTGGTACACCTCAGGGCGGCTCAATAGCAACCTCTGCCGGATCGGATACGGTCGAGGGTCATGGTTTCATCAATCATGATGATGAGTGGGAAGCAGACGATGACGAGTGTGAAATCTCCGGCATTAAAAGAAGATCTCAAGATCTGACTTGGACGTATGTGAGTGGAATGCCCGATGCTGGTCAGTCCAGTCTCGGAAGAACCACGTGTGTTCTTGCTTCAGAGGAACTTGAGTCATTCTTGCCGGAACTCGTCATTCCCGCACACTTCATGAACTATGTGACGTTTGTTGCTGGCAGCAACAGCAGAACGTTGCCAGTGAATCATGAGTTGGTATTGCAGTATGCACGCGGCAAGGCAGCATATCCGGTGATTGAGAGGGTGAACAACATCTTGACAAGAGATGAGGCTCTTGCCGAAGCTGACAAGTGCCGCACAGCAATGGTGGCTGAGTTGGGCCGTTGGCAGAAGCACGACGCTTGGCGACGCAGGCCACGTTCTGACTGCACCAATCCTCTGACTTCGAAGTGGGTCTTGAAGTGGAAGGACATGAAGTCAGGTCGTGATATCAAAGCGAGGCTTGTGGCGCAGGGGTTTAAGGACCAACAACGCACCGACAACTTTGCGGGCACAACGTCACGTTGGGGTCAGCGCTTGGTGGTGATCTTCTCAGCTCAGTTTGGTTGGCAGTTGGTGTCCGCAGATGTAAGCGAAGCCTTTCTTAGAGGACTCACTTTCCGTGAACTTTTCGAGGAAGGTTACAGTGCAGAAATGCGGACAGTACAACTTCTGCTTCCTCCAGGCACAGATGAGCTTTTGAGAGCACTGCCAGGAATGGAAGACTTTGACAGCTCAATGGAGTGCCTCGAATTGCTCAAACCAGGTTTTGGCTTGCGGGACGCACCTCGTTTGTGGAACCTGGCGTTGTCACGTGTGTTGGCAAAAGCAGGAATGAGACCTCTCAGCACCGATAAGCAGCTGTATGTCAAACACTCCTCGGAGGGCGCATTACAGGTTCTTCTGTCAGTCCACGTTGACGACCTCAAAGCAACGGGGCTGGAGAAAGAGATAGAGCTTGTTCTCGATACGCTTAGCCGAGAATTTGATCAGCTGAAACTGGATCGAGACAACTTCACTCATCTCGGGATTCGTCATGAGACCCGGGAAGATGGAAGTCGTGTGCTTAGTCAGGACCACTACGTGTCTGAGCTGAAGCCAATGAAGGAGGAATGCGTTAAGCTGTTGGATGCAAACGACAAGGTCGATGCCGAGACAGCCTCTGCATATCGCTCCTTGCTTGGCGGCGTTGCGTGGGTGGTTCAGACGCGTCCAGACATAGCAGTATATGTGTCGGCGTTGCAGCGACATCTTCAGGAACCGGCAAAGCAGCATGTGGTGGACTTGAACAGAGTGCTCCGGTACTTGAAGCTCAATCCTCAAGGCATGATCTTTCGCAAGGTTTCCTCACCTTGGATGTTGGTTGCAGTGTCGGATAGCGCCTATAAGTCAGATACACAAGATTGCCTTGCAATGCGGAGTGGGGTCATCATGCTCATGAGCAGACAGCCATTTGGGTGCGGTGATCACACAGTGCAAGTGATAGACTTTGTGGCGAAGAAGCAAAACAGAGTTTGCCGCAGCACTTACGTCGCAGAGCTTTACAGTCTTCTGGACCTGGTCGGTCATGCGCTGAACGTAAATTTGGCCTTGACCGAAATCCTCACGGGCGTGAGAGACGTGAAGCAACTCTTGGAAGTGCACGAAGGTGGCAAACATGCTCTTCGTCTCAATGCTGTTATTGACGCGAGGTCAGTTTTAGACAGTGTATCTGGAGCAGAGGTGAAGGTGCCCACCGACCAGGGTATGCTCATTCACGCCTTGAGGCTGCGTGAACTCTTGCAGACGCAGGTGGAGACGCTTTGGTGGGTGGACACTCGAGATATGTTAGCAGATGGCTTGAACAAGGGGAGCATCGATCGCACCCCTCTCAGGCAGCTTTCAGCAATGGGCCTCTGGCGAATTTCAAATGAGCCAAAGGGCCACAGTGAGAGACGCAGCAGAGCTGCAGAACAGGCAACCTGAGTCAAAAGGTACCAGGTTGCACCACATTGCACGCTCGTGCCATGAAGGCTCGAGCTGAAGTAGACAGTTTCACATGACGGCCTCTAGGCCATGGATCGCGGAAAACAGGGAGTCTGCGCCGAACACGATCACTTCGACTCAAAGTAGAGAAAGGTAGAGAGCTGGAGAGTACGTTCTTCCGTTAAGTAGAGAGAGGTACAGAGCTGGAGAGTACGCATTGTTTCTTCTTTCTTTTTTTTAACGCTGTTTGATCTGTTCGACTTTGCTACTTTACACGTGGCCTGCGTTGCTTTGGTGTGCTCCACTTGCGGAGGGTCCCAGCCAGCCACCTACTACATGAACTATTCCATTGTCGTGTTTACCTCTTCTTTTAAAGGTTATTGGCTTGATTTTTATGACATACACTTTGGTTTTGTGGAACTTATATCATACTTTTATAATGCTGACGATGAACCGACAAAAGTTCCGTGAATGATTGCTGTTGTTGCTGTGAGGTCTATATTTGTTCCTGTTGCTGGTTCAAGTCTTGTGTTTCATAACAGTATCTTCGTTCCGGCAGCTGTTACACCTTCATTAACTTCCGCCAACATCTTAAGCATTCGGTTTTCCTTTGATCTATGTTTGCTCACGGTCCCAGATCAGTTTCAGGTTGGTTGTTTCTCATAGGCTTACAAAGCATGGGGATAGGATTGGTCTACTTTTGGTTAGACAGCTGCGCGTGGTCATCGCAATTTAGGGTGGGTACTGACTGGGAGGTTCGGGCGAGTTGGAATCTGCTGAGCCGCTTGGGTCGTGTAACCCACCAGTAAAACAAGTCACTCCAGGGGTGCTGGACTAGTTGCTGGCTTGGAGCTACAAGCCTGGCCCCCGAGGTCTTGCTCCTAGGGGCTTGGTGAGAGAGCAATTTCGTAGGGTTGACTTCGGCGATGTTTTTTCTTGTTGGTTTAAGGCAAAGTCGATTGGTGGAGGTACAGTGGCAGGGCTTTGCGTTGCGCTGGCTCAGGCTCAGTTCTTCAGGTTCGTGATGTCAGGAACCTGATAATGTGCAACTCTGCCTTGATCCTTCTGACCATTGCAATGAGGGGAATGAAATGCTGCCAACATGTGGCTTCCCGATTCACTGGTGATGCTTGCCTTGATGACCGAACCAAGAGTAAACAAACCAAACGCAGGTGGTGCTGGAGATATCGGGCGCCGGCTCCTGTGCAGCTAAACACCAGTAGTCTCAGTAGTATTTGAGAGGAGGGCGCGCTGAACAAGCCGACATTTTGCATCCCCGGCACCACCAATGCCTAAGGGCCTAAAGTCCCTTTTGAATCTATCGCAATCAAGTAAACAAAGTACAGTAGCATGCAACATCGCCAGCATTGCCGAAGCAGCACTCTCACCATGAGCAACGCAGCTTCTGGACGGACCACGTTGGAATAAAGTCAAGGAACGGCAACATCGCCATCTACAGTAATGATCAGTGTAACGATAGCTTGAACCGATCATTTTGATGACTGATGATGTAATGATCATCATGAAGATAACATGTAGCCACCCTTCCCATGCACCTTTGTCAGAGAGGCTCGCCGGATATCCACCGCTTGGGCCGTCAGGTGACTCTGCGGGCGGGAGGCCTCATTGTGGTGCCGGCGGGGGTGAACCATAGCTACAAGAGCACGCAGGCTTTCCGGCCAGTTTCGAGCTGGCCGGTTCTGTGACCCACGGCTTGAAAAGGAAAAACTTGTAGGTGAATGGTTCTTCAGCATCTGAGCAAGGTTTTGGGGTAGGGCTTAGGGTGTGTCCCTTAGTTTGACTTGGAGACTTGCCGTAAAGTGGAGCTGGGTCTAGATGTGTGCTGTTGGAAGTCCATGGCCCTGGATGGGATAGAGATTCCCGAGTCCATGAATTAACCTCAGCTCATAGTAATTACCACGTGCCCTCAAAATCGTGGCTTCGTTGTGCTGCTTGTTTTTGTTAAGTCTTGGACACTTGTCACTCCTCCAAGCCGCCGATCAAAGCAACGACTACCTATTTGACTGGTTCAGAAGCAAAGCGTATTCAGAGCGAGCCAGGGACCTTCCCATGGCTCCATTGATGCTGTTGAAACAGCTTCAGACATGGGTTGTCTTGTTCGGAGTTGGGACCTTTTCTTTGTTGGTCGCCACCAGGAATGGAAAGCCTTGGTTGTCTTTTTTAGTGGGTCCCCCCCAAAAAAGACACCCACCATCAGAAGGCCTGTAAGGCCCCCCTAAAAGTTCTTGGATGTCGCGATGCCAAAGTGGTCAAAAGCGGGCAGAACGAACGAAAACTGCGTTGGAAGTGGCGCAGGAGAACCAGAGCCGCATCCTTGCGATCCTTCCAGGCGAGTGGCTGTCAGGGATATGTGTGTTTTGCAGTTGAGACCCCCCCCCACTAAAACGATCAATAAGCAGCTCCCTTCACTGGTCAGATGGGTTTTTCAGACTTCAATTTCAGTTTTGGGGGTTCCCCTTTTTGCAGGACATCAATTGAGATGAACCTGTTCGAAGTATCCTTTCTTGGGGTTCAACGATCACTGGTCACTGGGGCCTCTGTGTGTTTTCCAAAAAGGACTTGGCGAGTCTGTTGTTTGGGGAGCCTTTTGGTTGGCTTTAAATGAAATCCAAAATGAAACCGTTCAGACCCACAAGAGCCTGGGTTCTTTATTGGAATATTCGACCCTTTGCCCGTAGGCAGAAAAGGGCTTGAGATCCAGCATCAAATGGATTTTGTGGCGAGCTCGTGTGTGCTTGTGTGACCCAAGACTTAATGCGGAGTCCCTTGAAACTACCCATCCAGAATGAGCAATGAATGTGGGTGTGGGGCTTACGATGAAGGAGTCTTGTCATATGTAACTATGTAAATTTGTGAGTAAAAAGGGAACAAAACATGAAGGGCGGGGCCCCAGTTTTAAACAGAATTGGAAGTGAATATTGTGTTGCATGCAAGAGCTCCGTTTGTGTTCCAAGATGTCAAATGCTCGGCCACCTGTGGCAATGTAGTGTGAACGACTCTTGGGTGTTTGTCTTCAAGCATTCATCCCTGGGAGAAATGGGAAGACATAAATCCAACACGAGCCGTAGTTTTGTTTTGTGGGTCCGGATGTGGGGCTTGGTTGGGGTGCTGCTAGTCTGACAGCAACCCTGGATGCTGGTACCACTCAAGTTGTTTGCATTTACTTGAACTTCAAGTTACAGTTAAGCTTATTCCAAATCAACGAAGGACTGACAAAAGCGGCCTTGATTTCTTCTTTCCTGGCAAGTGAGTCAAGACTTCTGCCTCCTGCCACGGGGCAATAATGCATCACAAGTTGTGTGAGTGGGGGTGTCCCATCTCCGAAGCAAAACGCGCACGCAAGGAGCTGACTTGGCCATCCTTTCCGCTCGTTCGATTGTTTGACTCGCTATGTGTGCAGTGTTTGCTGCCCTTCTAAAGTTCGCTCTGCGCTCCAAGGCATCTCCAAACTTGGGGGTGTTTCTAGGGGTTGATCCCTGGTCCATTCTTTGCAACCGTCGCTCTTTTCAAAATCGGCTGTTTCCCCCTGGGTGTTTGATGGTTTCCTGCAAAGATTCGGATCCCTGGAAGGAATGCTTACCTCTTAAAGACACAACTTTTCAACTTTTTGGGTAACATGGGCTATATGTCTGTAAAAGATTAACTTCCCCAGGGCTTGGAGTTTAAGGGGTAAGAATGGGGAAGGTAACCCTAGAGCCCTGGCAATACCATCCCGCTCGAGGCCGGCCCAGCGGGACCGGCGACGAGCCCGAGGCCTGACAGGGAGGGCAGAAAACCTTTGGAGAGGCGGAGAACAGAGCATTCGTGGCTAGTCGTGCAAGTCTACCCTTGAGGCAGCCTTTTAGAGGCTCGGAGTAACGGTGGCTTTGCCGGTGATTCGATGTCACCTTCACCATTTGGCGTAACTTCTCCGGCTTCAAGATCTCCTGTGGCGGCCCCTATGTTTCCGCCGACACCAGCTAGCCAACTTTGAACTGGCAACCAACAGGTGATGTTTGTGACGCAAGAAGAGGAAATGCAGGGAGCACTGAAGATGGCTCACACATGGCCAACCCACCTCCTCCCAATCTGTGGCAGAAGGTGCCGTTTTGAACCGCTGGAAAAAATCCATGAGCTACAAGTGTAGAAGCCGGCTTTGAGGAGTTAATGTTTCCCTGTCAAGCCCGTTGGCCATGATCGCCCCCGCCACGTCAACAAGCTGCGGGCGAGGACATTCACGTGTCGCCTTGTCAACCACCACTTCAGGGCTCAATTCTGGGCTGTTCTTCTCCCTGAGTAGGTCTAGCTCGCCCTGTGCGGTTTGATAGAAACGCCCTGTGCTTCCAACAGGTCCTGTTGGGGTTCATTCGGTCACAAAAGTCGAAAGTTTCCTCAATGGGAGCCTGGAATAATTTGCCCCTGTTTGATCAACCCAGTAATAGGCGACTGTTCTCTCTCACTGTTGTGGGCACCCACTTATTGATAGGGTGGTCTTAATCCAGACACATCGTGTTTCCTTTTCTCCTTTACCAGGGACCGATTTTCGACCCTAGGGATCTTGGTATCAAGCATGTCCGTCAAGGGGGTCATCAAACTTTGTGGGTTCCGATTAGCTAACAGCACTCACCGAAGGCTTAAGGGAAACCTTCCGAGCAGTGGAAGGCTTCGGATTTCCAACGAAGCCACCTGGATACTTCAACTCGATTCGGGTTCCAACTCATTTATTTTCTGACCAAGATTGCCCAATAGAAACTAGCAGCAATGCGAACCGAAGTTGCAGCACACACCAAAAACCAAGTTGACTTCTTGTAGAACTTCCTGGGGCTCTCAGACCCAAAATCGGGCGAAAGCCGCAGGTCCCATTCAAAGAGGCGACTGCCGAAGACGGCAAGGCCGGGGAAAGGGGGGGGGAGGTTGCTGAAAAAAAGGCGTTAAAAAGGTTGGCCAAGCTCTCACACATGGAACCCCCAAAGAAGGCATTCCGCCAACACAAGATTCCTCTACACACGAGAAACCTTGATTGGCCAACAAAGGATCCAACAGAAACTTGCAGAGCCGACCCCTGAAGCGTCCAAGGGACAACAGCCCAACAGAGAGGTCCTTTTGTTTCGTGGGTTTTAAGGAAAAAGTGCGCCTATTTCTTGGGTCTCTCTGGAGACGAGAGTCCTGGCTTTGGCCAACCGGTCCGGAAACGAGAGACGAAGACCACGGGATTTGGCATGGCCTTTTGTCGTGTATCCCCGTTGCAAGCTCAAAGTTGGACTGTTTCATGTTCATTTTCCAAGGAGGATAGACGGATAGACGAACCATATCTTATCTGATAAAAGTTGGGGGGGGTTCAACCTTGTCTGGAGCCTCCAACGGGATTTCGCGTTGGGAATGCTGTTGGTTTTTCAGTCGGCCAAGGACCTGTTGCTCCTTCGGGGCTTGGAGCCACCCAGAAATCAGTTGCAACTAGTTGTTGGTCTGGGAGGGGAAGCGGCTTGCGGGCGGCTGGCTAGGTGGCGGAATCATGCTTGGAATAATTTGTGTTTTGAAGCGGGGACGTAACTATGTTGGCTGGCGTGACTAAAGTGAAGTAGATTCTTGATCAGTTTTGCTGCGCGGAACTTCCACAATACTGTGGGATTGCTGGATTTCTGGTTGTACAGCCATGCACGGAAGAGTGTTGGTTGGTTTGATCTGTTGTTTCGCGCTTCCTGCAAGCTTTGGTTTTTCGGAAATGCCGATTTCCCGACCAGCCAGATAAGTTGCTGTCGCGTTTTGCTAGGGGTTGACGCGTCCAGCCAAGTTTCCGTTCGACATTTGTCTTGAATATCCCTGAGCAATATGTAGGATAGCAGGAGGCAAAACTATCGAAGAGTTCAACAAAAAGGTACTTCTGTTTGTTTTTTCTTTTTTTCTATTCATCATGCTAGTGTCTGAATACAATGCACGTAGTTAGATGAGGGCTGTGGGGTACTCTTAAACTCAATATCTCATGGGAGAAGCAGGTTGCCCTCTGATGAAGGTGGAGGGGTCAGAGATGGGGTCATTTGGTGCCTTATGCCTTGAAGATGCCGATCCCAAACACAAGGCATCCGATACCTAGAAAGCTTTCGCAACCGCTCCTCATCCTAGGCTTGTCATAAGTTGCCCAGACGGGACGGCAATGGAAAACACAAATCCGAATGTAGCTGCACCAAGCGGGGGTGCAATGAATAATGACCAAGTTGAATTGAACAATGACCAAGCTGAACAACAACCAAGCTGAACAATGACCAAGTTGAACAACAACCAAGCTGAATAATGTTAGATTCATAGTCCAACAATGGCTTCAAGATACATGTGAGATGTGGGGCTTTTTCGTGACCGTGACCCAGGGCTACGTGCTGGCCCACGACTCCAGTTGTCGGTACCTCATGTCCAGCTGCGACGGGTCTTTGGAGTTCTCCTGGCTGCGGCTGGCCCGTGGGAAGATCCAGGCGCGCGACCCATGCGTAGGTCGAAGTGGCTTCGAATCCAAGCAGTGGATTTGTTTTTACTTGAATAGGTAACCAAGGGAAATCACCCCTAAGACCAGTACACCGGCAAGGGGCCCCAAAGAGTGGAGGGAGGTAGAAATCAAACAGTGTATGATTTCTTAAAGGTGAAACAGGTGAGGTAACATTGAACATGAAGCGAGAACATACGCGGAACCAGAGAGATGCGTATCTATGAAGATGGTAAGTAGATTTCTAGAAGACGGTATCAACGGGTAAGTGCTCGTGTAAGACATGAGAAAAATGACGGAAGCAGTGCCAAGGCGAATTATATACCGTGTACGACCCCGCCGCTTTGCGCGTGCCTGCACAGTCGAAATGCATCCATTCCTATCACCACACCAATCATAAAGTCTTGGAAATCATGTTGGTGAAGAATGTGGTCGGAACAATAGGTAATAGGTGGTGATAGGAATGGTTCTCGCTCTTTCACTCTCTTTCTTCCATCTCGCCACCTCGCTGTCAATGAGAGTTAATGAAAGAAGCAGCAAGAGAAGAGGTGCCATGCCTTCACGTCCCTATCCCCTGTTGATGATTGATAGGCTTGAAAGTGGATAGGGAAGGGAGAATGATTATGTCGTTATTTGTCTATGAGATGCCAAGGAAAACATATTTCCCAAGCGTAACAGACGCCAGACCAAATCATTTTCGGCCAGCACTTCGCGCGAACCGGCGCAGTCGAGCCGCATTTCAAGATTTTACAAAGTCACGCGGGATCACGCGGGTAATTGCCACGAACTGTTCTGGAGGTCAATCCTGTGCTTCTTGCGTGTGCTCGCAGCTAGCTTTTAAGGAAGATCCGATAGGGCCCAATCAGTTGAGTTCCAAGGCGAAGTTGAAAAGATGCACTCTTTTTTTTGGGAGTCCCTTACCAAAGTGTTTAAACATGTTTGGTTGCTTTGGTGCATTTTGCTTAAATGTGAGGACTTTAACTTTTTGCCAACTCATGTAACTCATGGGTGTTCCGAATTAAACCCATTAGAAGTTAGTCACTTTTAGCAGGGGAGCAGAAAGCAACCGAGGTTTTTTGCTACGTTTTTCTGGGCTCCCAGAGGGGCCTCAAAGGACTCACTCCCCTCTAGGAGCTGCCCAGCTCCGAGACGGTGGCGGTGGTTCTAAAGGGAGTGGTGTGCTGCGGAGAGAGGCTGGGTCCTTTGGACGTGGTGAAGCAGCCAGCTTTTTTATCCGCGGCCCAGGAGAGCTGGGAGGGGAGTTGGGAGCTGGGCAATCCGCCACTAGGGCAGGCTGTTGTAGCAACTGGTTAGCAACTGGTGACTGGTGAGCAACAAGGCTGACTTGATTTCCCTTTTAAGAGTTGCAAGTCTGCGCATTCCAAATCGGGCAGATCCTTGACCAGATAATTTCAGCTAGTCAACATTAGTCAACCCAAAAGTGTTCACAATCTGGACTACCGGACCTTTCCGAGCGGTGTAGCCGTTGTTGCCGCCTCTCTTGGAGGTTGCTTGCTCAAACGCTCTTTCGTAGCGAAGCCCGCTTGGGATGGTTGGAAGCCAAAAGCAACCATCCCACCGACCGAGACGTGTGTTTCATGAGACGAAACAGGATGCAGAACCGTAGCGAGCGAGCATTCCGACATTCACGCTGTAAGGTCCCGGATAGATATAGGGCTATGATCCAAACAATCGGGAGTGTGCCCCCGTTGAGGGAACCTTGTTCAGGTCGGCTTTACGGGGACACCAAAACCAAACCAAAACACTAAGTTTCGGTGTTCGCCTATTTTGACATTCCCTGATTAAAAAGAACACGAGCAGCCTGGCTTGCTTTATTCGGGGGTTACCGAGATGTACTTAGTTTTAGTTCAAGAACCGCGTTTTGCTTGAAGGCTTGTTTGAAAATGATGTACGTATCTGCATTGGTCAAAGCTCCTTTTGTGGGTGATGGTAATGGCTCTCGGCTTAGTGTGGCCATGACTAGTCCTGCCGGGTATGGTAGCGGTGACAGTGAACTACGCGCGCTGCAAGCCACCTGAGCTTGCTTGAGGTTTGCGCACAAGTTTGTCGCTGGTCGGCTAGCGCCAGTTTCTATCGGCCTCAAAGATCTTCGCCTACCTTGCTCCCTGCAACACCTCTCTTTCTCGCCCTTTCTCCCTCTTTTTCTCTCCCTCTAATGCGGCTGCTGTCATATGCCCCCTCTTTGTGTCTATGTGCGTCTCGCTGTTGTCGGGTTGCTTCTTTGCCTGTCTCTGTGTCAGCCTCTCGAATCCTGTGCCGTTTATCCATGTGCACATGCCTCTCTCAAAGTATCGCCCAGCGCCTGGAGCGGATTTAGGCCAGTAATCAGCATGTAGGGTGTGTGCTAAGTGTGCTGCGCTGTACTTTCGCGGCGCCTGGGCTTGGCAAATCGAGCACAGGTTTGCTGATGGAAATCCTAGCCGCTAGCAATGGCACATCTTGGTTGGTCACTTGCCAGAAGCATGCTCTGAACGCCTCCAAAGTTCTTCCTACACCTCCCCCCCCGCCCCCAGCTCCAGCACGAATGCTTTTCATGCAGGGAACTTAGGCTAATGAAAGGGTTGCTGACTGTGCGTTGGCACAATGACACCAGGAGTTCTCACCCATCTAAGTGCCGCCGCCGCACTTGCTGATCAAACCCCTACCCGCAAATCATGTATTCACACCTGGTTTGGGCGGGAAGCGCCTGTTTCAAAAGCAAACCAGAAGGGATATCAACCATGTTGTGGGTCCTCCCAGTGTTGAGAAACCTTTCTAGTCATTTTTTTAGTGCCGTCTACCTTCTACTTTCCCCCTCACAGGACACGTGGGGCGCCAAGGAAATATCCATGTTGGTTGACCTTCCCCTATGTTGATCAAATTAGGTTTGTGAGGTACCCTACTCCGATAACGCTTAGTTGTTTTGGATTGCTGGGTTGGGGACTTGAATCCCTGGTTCCAGTCTTGGGTAGATGATTTCCGGGAAATCGGGTTCCCCCCAACCACCACGCCACCGATCCAAGCACCCTGTTGGGTGCTTCTCAAAATCAAGGACCTCCTTCAGGTTGATTCCTCTTGGCGCCTTCCTTTGAGAAACAGCCTGCCTTGTGCCAAGTGTTGAGACTCCTTTAGGACTCCCTGGTCTTGCTGATCAAGTCCTCGCTGCCCCACGACATGGACTTCAACTTTGACCAGGTGCAGTGTGACCCGGCGTCACATCGCCTTTGTAAGGTGAGTTTTCCTTGGCACATCTTGGCACGGGTGCAGTTCTGGAGGAAAATATTGGGAACACTTGTTTACCCCCAAAAAAAAACGACAAGCCGCTGCGCGCGTCCTTCGGCAAGAACGCTTTCCAAGATGTCTTTGTTGCATTTCACCGAGGGATGTTAGGCCTTTAACTTTTTTCCAACTCATAGGTTTTCCGAATTAAACCACTAAACAAGTTAGTCACTTTTAGCAGGGGAGCAGGTTTCGCAACCGAGGTGAGAAGCTGCCAGCTTGAGTCTCAGCTGAGTTCTGGCTGGAGCTTCAGCGCGCTTCAGCGGACCGTCGAGGAGCGGCTTGGGTCGCATGGAGACGAAAGGCAATGAGACTTTGGCGCGTGGAAATGGTTTGCCTTTCCGGGTAAAAGGGTGGGGCAAGTTGTTCACTTTGGTTTGGGGGTTCCTCTTGAAAATGGCCAACTCCAAAAAGGGTTCACTTCTTCTGCCAACGTCACTGAGCAACTGGGCTGGCAGCATGTTGAGGATCCACTGGAAGAAAGCGATCATTTCCACCCCAAATTGCCAGGCTACCTTTGGATGCTGTTCAGTTTTTTCGGGCCCTTGAGTGCCAGAATTTGAGAGCTCCAAGCCATTTGAAGAGAGGCTTGTGGCTTTTGCTTTGAGGCTATGAGCCAGCAGCTTAGGAAGACGCGGCCGGGCCGATGCGCGGATGGCAACCTTTGGTAGAGAGGCCCACCTAGCTTTGTATGAAACTGCAGGCCAACCTTCGCGCAGACGGGGAGACGCTGAAAGCGTTTGCTCTAGCCCTCCACTCCACTTCCTTCGAGGTGGTTTAGCGATGAGCTGGGCGTGCTCAGCAATCTGAGCTCCGAGGCCTTTGCGCGCTGTCGCGGATCAGAATCGAAGGAATCCCGGGATCCTTGGCAACCTATACGGCCATGTGATAATAGCATTGCGCAGCATCTTTGCAGCGGACAAAAAATTGGTACTTCCGGGACGGATCAAGGGCGATGGTGGTTGCTCCTAAGAATTTGTTTTGCCGTCCGAGGCGAGAATGCTGAAATCATGAACAGATCAACCTAGTACTGAGGCACTTGAGTCAGTCCAAGCCATCAGAAGGAGACTAACGGAGTACTTGTGCATGCATGGCTCAATACTTCAAGGCTGGGGAGCCTATTGCAAAACAAAAATGAAATCTGGAACTTCAAGGAAGCCGAACAGTTGGAGGAGGGCGTAGTTTTGGTAGGCAAACCCACACACACAACATGTGTTTGTGCGTGTTCCCACGTACCGGCGTGCCTTTGTGCCTGTGGGTGGCTGCAAGCCTGTGTGTGCATTTGGGCACGTTCGAGCGCATGCCCGTCCGTGCGTGTGGGCGTCGATGTCTAGTGGCTCTCTCAGTGCCTTCCTGTTTGCCGCCTGGAACACGTCCACGCTGTGAAAGCTTGTAGTTTTCACGGTGCCCTTTGTGAGCTTGAATCTTTTACTTTTACACCTTGTGAGGGACTGAGGGACCACAAACTCCCCACTCTACTAGCACGATATTTAAGTTTCCGCAGGCAGTCAAAGAGCCACTCACCCTTCTGCGCGCCGACGTAATGAATTTGCCTACTTATGTCGAGCTCACTGGAGGTAAATTCAGCTGGGGATTCGTTTATAGCAGCTTCTGGAATTAAGAATGTCTCATCATGTTGCTGTCTTGCAATCTGGGGCGGAACTGTTGGCCATGCTTCTGCTCACGCACGTCGGCTCGAGACAGCGGACGACCCGCAAGCCCTGCGCTCGGCTAGAAATCCCATTGCTGCAAGTGTCTTTGGCACGGTGTTTTTTGTCAATGTGCAGGGCAGCAAATGGTTCCTTCCCGGCACATATATCTGACCATTGGAGGGATGGCAGCTTGGCTGCGAACAGACAGACACACAGCAGACCAAAACAGCAAACCCAACGATCAACAATATGATTGCACGTAACGACACAAAATACATCAGCCTCCGATTTTTGGTTGTCCATGTGGTTTGAAAATATCAATGGGTGATCCTGCGGTGTTGCCTCGAACATGAAAGCAAGTTCGATCAACCTCTTGGAATCTTGACTCATATAGTCGCAACACGGAAACTGGGTCCCTTAGTATAGTGCCCTTTTACCCTTTTTGGGGGGGAGGGTTCCCCTACTAAAGTAGACCAGAAACAAAAGTTGGTATCCGTATTCAAACCTCTCTACTGGAGGACCTAGGAAAGCAAGAACAAACGCGCTCGAAGCGCTTCTTCGCGTCTGCCTCATGCGGGAGCTGCAGAGCGCGTGCAGCACGGCGTGGCATGTGGGGGTGGTGGTGGTGCTGGGGGCCGTGCTGCACCCGGAGCTGAAAGCCTTCTACCACTCCGGGCATGGAGGCGGGGTGTGTTCGGGGGGAGCTTGGACCATGACAGCGTGTAGAGTGAGGGTTCCTTTTTTTGTAGCAAGGGCTGTTTGCTTTCAAACAGTCCAACTGCCCTGACGGGAGGTTCGCGCGCAGATGCTTCAGGTTTAGATCTATTGCATGGATTGGCATTCTTCGTGTAGCACTACTTGCTCTCCGGGGGATTTTCTTCCCATTTCCCCTCACGTGGAACACGGCGCAGGCTCAAGTGTGAGCCCTTCACCATGTGACTGGGAGGGTGGGCCCCGCCGCTTTGCCCTCTTGCCATCCCCTGCAAAAGTCGGCCTCTTCGGCGATGTAGCACGTTTGGATTGTGGCATTGAGAGTGCGTGTAAAACAATTTCCGCTTAACTTGTTGTGCTCAAGACATGCCCACCATTGCATGTAAACCAATTTTTGTTGACCCTCCCAGCAATCAACATGGAACCTGTCACCCCTTTTAAAAGGCAAATGATCCAATCCAGGACCGATTCCCATGACGTCGAACGGTTCCACGTGTTAGTTGGTAGGGTCACTCGTTGTCATCGTACTCACATGACCATGGGTCAAAATCCAAATCGTGCCCTCCAGTGAACATCCCAATCCAACCACTAAAATGGGTTCCAAAATGAATTCACCTACCAACCAAAATGGGACCCAACACGGTTTTGACAACCACAGCCACATGCCCCCTGAGACATGAAGAACACGGTCTCGGCCATCGACACCTGGGCGGCCTGCCTTCTGCTCTGGGCCCTCAGTCTGGGCGCCGGGCGCAGCACGCTGCCCAAGCGCGAGAAGCTGCGCTGGGCGGCGCCGCCGGGCATCTTCGTGCGCCTCGGTGGTTAGCTAGGATTGTGTCCCCCAGCTAGGTGCCAACTTTTACCGTTTCCTTTTTTGGTCGGGAGGGTTCCCCTACCCACATTTGGCTCATGCCAAGCCCGGAAAGGGTTGAACCAGGACCCTGGTCCATGGGGTCTTGGGTCAGGCCCTCTACAAATTTTAGAGCGAGCTCACCATGGTACAGGTCCTTTGCTTGGGGATCCCCTTAATCAGCTTTTGGAATTATAGGGGTCTCAATGTTATTCTTTGGGGGTGCCATCAGTTCAAAAGCAATGTTGGGAGTGTTAGTTGGATGGTCTCACCTTTGAATGAGTCTCCTTTCGGCGAGGAAACAAGGAGATTCAATTCTGCTAAGGTCCTTGACTTGGCGATCCAATTCTGATTTCAGCTTTTGTAGATATGGGAGCTGCTGAACTAATAAAGAGCCAGGGCAAACCGCAGGTTTTGGTCGTTGCTTCCATTTAACAAGATGCCATGTCAATGTGGACCACAACCAGACATATTCTCAAATTTGCAGATCCCCGTGGTTGGTCTCTTCCATTTAAGCTGCCATTTTGGTGAAATTCCATTTTTAGGGCCCACAGCCTGCCAGAAGTAGATTCTTAAATTTGCAGATCGTTTTGGGGAATTCCATTTTTGGGGCCCACAGCCAGAAGTATACTCATTGTATTTTTGGGGCCCACAGCCAGACAGGCATACTCTCAAATTTGCGGATCGATCCCGATCGAGGTTCCTATTCCATTTATTGAACGAACCCAGAGCCATATTATGCTTAACTTTGCGGATCGATCTCGAGGTTCCTGGTGATCACTTTGGCCACCTGGGCCAACTTCCTGAGCTACGGCTGCTACGCGGCCTTCGGCCCCACGGAGCTCGTCTTCGTCTACGCCTTCGCGCGGATCTGGCACCCCGCGGAGCGGCAGAGGCGGAGCGGGTGTTGGAGCCATCACTCAGTTCAGTGGCACCAATTCGTTTTTTTTTCTTTTTTTTTCCCCCTTTTTGTTTGGTGGCTGCCCCACTAAAAATCATTAATATTCCCCCAAATAAAGGGTGCCCTTTTCTTGCCCAGGGTCACTGAACTGAGATCAATCCAGAAAATGTGCCACTTGTCTTTGGTTTTCCCTGACCAAGTCGAACTTGAAAGGCCCATGACTTCAGTGAAATACGCTAGAGAAGTGATGTCAGACTTTAAAGGGCAAGGGCTGTGGACTTGGGCGATGCAGCTGCATTGGAAGGATGCAAGGCATACGGCGGAGCATCGTGCAGTTCCAAGACATCATGCGAGATGTCCCATCAAGTTTCATTCAACAGCATCTCGAAACACGCTTCCGAATGAGCATCATGTTCCTTTGTGTTTACCTCCCAAACGCGATTTGGGGCCCTCAAACAGCCAGATTTTGAGAACGCCCAACCACCTCCAGGGTGTTTGCTTCACGGGGGTGTGCAAGGAAAACCCTGAACAACTTCTTGTTTTTCAGCTTGGCCCTGAGCATTGAGCGAGAAAGCACGGACGGTTTTGGTGAGACCAAACAGAAGCTGGCCGAAAAGGAGGGCCCGAGGCCAAAGAAAAAAAGCACGTCCGATTTCAAGACGTAATTTGATTTACTCAATATGTTCCGAAACAACCGTGTGTGTGTGTGTGCGTGTGTCGGAGGTACCCTAGTTTGGGGTGGTTTTGATTCAAAGGGAACTAAAGGGAGGCCATCCAATTCGTTTGCTGGTTTTAAAAGCAAACCAAAGGGAAACCACCCATTTGCGGGTTGCCGCACTTGGATTTATGGATTTGTTTTGCAAAAAGGGTTTGGAACCTGTAGAGAATCAAGACGTGCTTCCATTTGTCAGGTCCTTTTGGAGTGCCGTTTGATTCTCTACGGTGCCCAAAATCCCAAACTGTCTATTGTTTTGTGGGCTTTCTCATTTGCATGCTTCTCAAGCTGGGGCAACCTGGTGTCCATTTGGTGTCCCTTCAACTCCCTGAACATGGTACTGCCAAAAAAGCGGACAAGTAAGCCCCAAGAAGCGAATCCTCGATGACCTTCATTGTGTCCACATGAAGATTGAAGAAGTGGTCCCTTGCCCTCGCTCCCCAAGACGTTGAAACCTGTAAATGTCCAGGATGCTGCCTTCCTTTTTGCGAGCCTTTATCAATCCACATCCCCGCTTGGGTGTGCCACCCCTAAAGATGGCGGTGTTCGAAGGCCCTGGTGGCATGATCTGCCGGCAGCGCCACGGCTGCATTACCAAAACCTTGAGCTGAGAACAGGAGCGGTCCGAATCAACTTGTTTTCAGCAGGTTTGTGGATGGAACTCTGTTTTAGGCAGGTTTGCGGATGGAACTCTGTTAAACTTGAACCCTTTCTCTCAGAGTCCCAGTTTCTGCTTTTTGGGAAGGTCGTTGGATCAGTAAGTTTTGGTGGGTGGGTCGAACGTGATCGACCCGGGGATTCAGAGGCGAATCGCTCCGAGCCCATTTTGGAAGAGTCCTTGATGTTCAGATTGAACATGAAATGCTGGTTGCAATATTGAGTGGTCACGTCTAACCTGGGTGGTGTGTGCCACCCTCAAGTGAGGGTGGTTCAGTGCAATCACGCTTGGGTGCGTGTCAGCCTCCGCACTTTGGTTGCTTTTCCTTTCAATCCAAAAGAGATCTCATGAATTGCTGCGGCTTCCTTTACTTTCCTTTACAGGCATAGATGGCCATGGGTCAAAAGACCGCACCCCCAAGTGAACATCACAATCCCTACTCAAGTAGACAAAAACATTGGTTGTACACCGAAAACCCCCCAAAATGGGTTCCCAAAACGGTTTTGACCACCACAGCCACATGAATAACTGCGGCTTCCATTACCGGCGGCCCAGCGAAGCCAAGCACCAGGTACTGGTCACCGCTCTGGGCAGTTTGCTCTGCGTGATCGGTGGCTCATTCGACGCCTCGCCTGTGGCTATGCTGGCGGCGCTGCTGTGCCGTGCCTGCCAGGCCCATGACAGTTTGGTGGCTCAGGCTCAAACAGCTATTTGGCTCCTATTAGGCTTTTGTTGTTGTGGTTTAGTGTTTTGTAGTGGTTTTTAGTGGTGTTTAGTTGGTTTCGCGGTTGGGTTTTCACTTGGGGTTTCCACTTTACCCGATAAAAGTGAAACTTTTAGTAGGGGATCTGAGTGCAGCCCAGATTAGTTTCGGAGAGCAAACAAGATCGGAGAACATCAGAGTTGTTTGTTTCAGATCAAGCACATGCTCACCTGCTTGCCACCAGGAACGTTGGTCAAGGCGTCATTCTTGTGGGACATTCCAGTCTCAGCACATGACAATTGTGGTTCGAGTTTACTCTGGTCTGTGATTGGTGTTCTTGTGGGTGTTCTCTTGTTTTTGCTTGTTTCTCGCAGTGGGCAACCCAAATAAGAAATCACATTTCTTGGCCGCCGTTCGTAGATTTATGGTTCTGACGCGGGGGGCGTAGCTGCAAAGAGGTGCCGTTCGTAGATGTTCTCACACGGGGGGTGGGGTTAGCCGCAAAGAGTGGCTTAGAGGTCAGAACCGTTTGCATCATCATTGGGTCATTCATCAAAGATCGTGCTGGGTGAAAGCCCTAGACTCTAGACGAAATATGTTGTGTTCGAAGACAAGCACGATCTGAGGTTCTTCCACACGCACTGTCCAAGCAAATCCGGTCCAGGAGTCAGCATAAGACGAGCTAAGTATCAGGTTCTTTGGCAAAGGTGGAGAATTGCCCCGTTGAGCCCCTCCCTACCATGTTTCTGGAGGGGTTCTTAGCCTGGATGAGGCACACATTTTAGCAGATGGTGACACAAAAACCGCGCCACATATGGGGTAACCGTGTGGGGACGGAGACAAAGATGCGCTGTGGCTCAAGATTAAACTGGAGGGGCAAACCGCGGGTTTTGGTCTATGTTACGTACCAAGGTTCCAGTTTGGCACCAGTGTTTCGAGCCACAGGTGGGCGGAAGTGGGGAGAGAGGAGCCCTGGCGGAAGCGCCGAACCGCCGAAGTCGCAGGCGCTGATGACCGTCTCGCTGCGCAGCTGCTGTGTTGCCCTGGCTTCCGGCAGCGCCAAGGAGGAGGCTCCGTTCCGTGCGAACGAACTCGGTCGGGCTCAGTCGAGGTCAGTCGACGGAACGGCTTCCATGTGCTGAAGAATGTACACGTTGCTCGTATATAAATAGTTTTTCCGCCTCTTGGTTTGAAAGGGAATCTAGCACTACTGGACATATGTTGTTTGTTTTTTTTGGTGCTGGATGTTGCTGTTGCAGTAGTTTATTGAGAATAGTAGTTGTTTAAACAAACATGTTTGTCAGTATTATCATTCTGGTTTGTTGCAGCGCAGGTGTGGGCGTATGAGATCGTATGAGTATGCAGAACTATACATGTGTCGGTGTGTTCGCGTTGGAATCTCGGCATGGCTACCATTTGTTATATTTGCCTCACAAAGTCATCGTAACCCAACGTGTGAAAGGACAGGTGCCATGCTCAGGCCCCGTTTGACGGTGCTCTTTGATTCAAGCTGCAAGTCCCCCGAGCTGCCAATCTGGTGGTCCGCTTGCGGATTCCGCGTGGTGTCTCTGTGGCCCTTCTAGGTCAGATTGGTTGAAGAATGCGACGTTTGAAATATCCGGGTGAATCGACTTTTGGCAAGCGCGGGGGAATTCCCCTGAATTTGACACCTGGAACCCAGCCACACCCCCGCACCGACACCCGCGCCCGCACCCACGCGCACGCCCACCCGCACGCACACGCACACCCACGCAAGCGCACACGCACACGCAAACTTCCATACACCCACACCCACACTCACACTCAGACTCACACCCCACCGTGCTGTTGGAACAAATCAGAGAATGCAACATCCAAGTACGCGCCTCCAGAAGCACTCTGCTCAAAAAAGAACACCCTGACTGCTCTTTATGCTGCTGGCGGGTCACAAATACACACAGATACACACGCACACAGACTGGCCTGGGGTTGATCAATGGCAGAAGGCTGACCCAATTTAGGGAAAGGAGTCATTAGTGGCTTTCGCTGGTCATGTAAAGGACCCCTTGATCAACCCTCGAATCACCCTTGAAGTGATCGGGAGGTTGGTGTGCTGGAGATCACGCAGTGGAAACTGCTGGTGACCGCCCTGCCCCTCGCAGAGAGGGGATGTGCACTGCTAGGAACTCCACCATTTGAGGATTGGGGACTCGGGGAGACCCTGTTTTAGCAGGTTTGAAATTGAATCCCAAAAATGGTTTTGGGGCATGCCCACGTTTTGAGACCAAAACGGATTAAGCTGGCATTTACAGTCTTGCTTGAGATGCTACGGAGATTCGCATGGCATGACTGCCAGTTGGGATGGAACCGATTGTATGCGCAGCGGATTTGGTGGCAATTCGACAGGGGAAATGGGTTTGTTCAACAGGTAGACAAATTCTTGCTTGCTATTGGGTTGGATCTTTAGACTTAACTCTTCGGGGAAATCAATGTGTTCCATTAAACCTATAAAATGTGAACAACTTCTTGTGCAGAGGGGTCAACAGCAACCGAGGTAGTTGGTGTCCTTTGCTGTCACCTTTGCACCGTTTCATGTTGGTCTTTTTCACCGGGCCAACAGGTCCGACTCGTACCTCGCCAGGGAGGAAAAGCGTCAAGTGATTGGACAACATGCGATTTGGAGACGCCAACCACGAGATGCCATGGTCCAAAGAGTGGTTCCTTTGCTTTGGGTTGACAGGTTACGGAGTGCCATGAGCAGAAGCATCCGTTCAGTTTGGCTCTTCTAGACGAGCGGCCCGGAAGCTGACAAAGTCCGGTGGTCCACATGCTTGAGCTCACCCTGCAAGGCTCTTCACAAGAATGCGGGCATTGTGAGTTCGAATTCCAGATAGTTGCCCGGAAGCCTCGGTAAGCCGACTGGGTTGCTGAAAGGCCGGGAGAGGCTGAGCTGACTTGGGTTGTCTTCACGTAACCCGAACCTGGGAGGTCTTCAAAGCGTTTCCCTACGAAGACGCGCATCAACATGTCGGCAACCTACTCTAGTTCCCCTAGTAGTGCCCATTTCCCCTTTTTTGGGGGAGGGTTCCCCTACTAAAACAGACTACAGCCAAAGTTGGTACCCTTATTCTAACCTCCCTCTACTGGAGGACCTAGTCTTGGGGACCAGGAGCAAGCCAGCCTTTGACGTGCCACTTTATTCAAGAAACACGGTGGGACCACCACGGTGGGAAGGACACGGCTTGAGGCTCTGCCTGCCCTATGCGCTCCTCACCGAAGGGCTCGCGCCCTGGCGACTTCTAGGACTGCCGAGATGTCCGAAAGGCCAACGGCTGGGTTCCAAGCTTCAGATGACAGGATATATATATATATATTCAAGTTTTGAACCAAAAAAAATCCAGAGTATCCCGGGGGGGGGGGGGGGGTACCATATATATATATATATATACACATATATATATATAATATATATAGGGTCACCCCCCCCCAAGATCCACACCTAGGCTAAAAACACTGTAAACACCAGTGTTTTGTAGCATTTTGGATCATCAGAATCTGATGATCAGGAAGGTGGCACTATTTGATGATTGTTTTAAGCAGAAGCAGATGTTTTTCTGGTACTTGGAATGCTTGCTAGATGATTTGAAGCAGATGTTTTGAAGCAGATGTTTGGTGCCTTTTATGTCAGAAGTACTTGAGAACTTTAAAAACCTCGAGAAAACCAAAAAACAAAAAACAAAAACATTTGAGGAGATTCTTTGGTTTGCCACTTTTTTTTGTTTTTTGGTTTTCTCAAGGTGTTTTTTGTTTTTTTTGTTTTTCGTAGTGTTTTTTGGTTGTTTGCATGAAACACCAAAAAAACCAAGGTCTTTTTTTTGGTTTTCACTCAAAAACCAAAAAAACCCTAGTCTTTTTGGTTTTTCAATAAAAACCCAAAAAGCCTAGTCTTTTTTTGTTTTTGGAGTGCGAAACCCAAAAACCCGCATGTTTTTGTTTTTTTTAAGAAACAACCTAGTCTTTTTTGGTTTTTTAAATGAAACCCACAAAAAACACTAGTATTTTTTGGTTTTTGAACTGAAAAACCAAAAAAGACTTAGGAAAACCAACAAAACCAAAAAAACCTTGAGAAAACCAAAAAAGTGGCAAACCAAAGATTATCCTCAGAATTTTTGTTTTTTGTTTTTTTTGGCTTTCTCGCGGTTTTTTGAACTTTGGGAGACTTCTTCGTGTTTTGAAGCTTGAAGATGCTAGAAGCTTAATAAGCAGATATTGCTTGTCAGACAGGGACAGATATTCCTTGGAAATACTGTCATTGCAGTACGCTCAGCTTTTTGCTTGCTCCTCCTTGTCTCGTGCTTTGGTAGTCTACATCTCCTGTAGGTACCTGAGCATGTCACCGGTAGCCAGCCACATATTCTGGTTTCGGTGTTAATACTCAAACTGAGCAGCCTAATCTTCCGTGTCATTGCATGATTGCCTGGCACACGGGTACAATTCTTAAGGTGAGACCGCAACGTCCCCCAAAACCGGTCTATCACCTGAGTGCCACTTTTCACGGACAACCGCTCACCCTGAGGAAGCTTCAAGTGGTAGCCCTTCGTATAGTGCGGCTTCACCCAGATCACCCAACGGAGAGGCAATGCGACCATCAAGGACATCACATAACAGAAAACTGTTTTACAGTTTGTTGCGTCTCCAGGCCTTCTTCCCTACCTTCTTCTTCTTCTGGTGCACGACATTGCAGTGCACCACCCCCTCGATCTTCATCTTGTATGCCCTGGCCCCGTCGGAGCTCCTCTTCTGTAGGAACTTGTTTCCCAATGGCTTCCAGTCCCGCTTCCGGATCGGCCCGGGGCCAGCAGGCGCCCGCTTCTTGGTCATCTTAGGGTTCAGGCGGAAGAGCCGGAGCGAGGACGGCCGGGCTCAACCAATCCGCCCCACTGCTCCCACTTGGTGTTGACCTTGCCCGGGATCTCCTCATCGGTCATCTTCCCGACGTCCACCTCGTCAACCTCAACGTCTTCCTAGTTGCCTCCGTACTCCTTGTTGACGACGTACTGGGCACGGAGATGAATGAACATGGCCCCGCCGCCGAGGCGAGGGAGTATGGCTGGAGGGACGGTCTCACATTCGAAAAAAAAACATGAGAAGACAAACGCATGCTGTAGGCAAGACGGCAACAGCCCCCCCGAACCCCCACCCCCCATCCCCTTCCACTAAACACCTGCATTGCTCACATGATCTTATTTTAGCTGAGTCGTTTCTGCTGAGGGAACCGAAGCAGCCCAAAGACCCTTTTCCGCCGCCGAGTAGGGCGTAGGAAAAACACGTGAGTCCCTTGGGTAGGACGAGTCTCTCCTCACATCGCCCTGCCATGTGTTCGGATTTGTGTAAGAAGTGTAGGATCTTGTCCTTGCGTAGCTGCTCGAGTAGCCGTTGCCCCGTCAGAGACATGAGCCCCAGCGAGCTCGGTGTCCCTTGGATTTGGAGGTAGGAGTTCCATGCCGGACATACGGCGCCTGCACGTAGCGCTTGGCAGCAGGACGCCTTTGGACTCGTCGCTTGCCTCGCTTCGGGTCAGGGAAGTTAGCCTTCTTGACTTTCATGGGCTTCATGACTTTCTTGGGCATGGATGCTACAGAAGGCTCAGAGTATAACAATGTCAACAGCTTGATTCACTGAAATGGCTGCATATGCATTGCAAAGTTGGCACTGGTGCAACATGTTGTTTTGCAATTGCTAGAAGCACTGCATGACATGGAAAGCGCTGCATTTGTTAGTCATTGCCATGAGCTACTAGAGGGTATATGGTGTGAAACACTCTCAGCCACTCGTCACATCCATGCCCTCACTCGCGTCCCCCTCCATCTGGCTCATCACATCCATGTCCTCAGCCATGTCCTCACCCGTCTGTCCATGCGGTCCATCTCCTCCGCTATGTCGGCCTGGAACGCCATGACTGCCCTCATCTGCCACCCCCGACAGCGATGCCAATCCGGTGCTTTGACCTTGACATCAGACACAACACCTTGGGTGGTCTTGGCTTTCTTGACCGGAGAACCGGAGATGTCAATGCACTCTGCGGAAGACACTGGCCTCGAAAAGGTCGACTTGCGCTCCAGCCTGTTGATTTGACTCTGAGGAAGCAGCAGCTGCCAAGCGCTCCTTCACCGATTCGGACGAGTACATCTTGGCCTGAACCGTGTTCTCATCCCGACCCGACCCACACGCCTCACGAACATGCGGACAGGCAGATTCTTTTCGCCCGCCATAGCCGCCGTCATCCATTTCTCTTCCCATTCCAGCTTCTTCTTGAAATCCTCTGGCAAAGAAGCCCCCTCCCCCTTGCGGTAAAAGTCGTAAATAGGCCGAGACTCATCCACGAGAAAGTCCGTCTTTTCGTTGAGCGGCTTCCTGATAACAGGAGTCTTCTCCTCACCGGCCGGGCGAAGGTCTTCGTGTTCACAATCAGGTGGGTACGCTTCAGGACCGCCATGACATTAGAGTAATTAGCTTCTTTCGCATACCAGGCGACACCCAGCATCTTCATGAATTTGTCGTGGCTGACATAGGAGATCTGTCCTGCACGCTTGGCGACAATAGGGAGGTCGTCCTCGGGCTCCTCCTTGGAGTCAAAGTCATTGACGCAATAGATGCGAGGCTGCCCCTTCACCCACTTCGCCCCCAGCGCTCTTTCGACATAGACTCCACAGTCCCCACGTCAGTGAATGCCTTCACCTTCTGGAATGGCTGTTCACTCAGGGATAGTAGGTTCTCTCAAACCGGCTGGGAAAACCACTTTCCAGGTACTAGGCTAGTTCAGGCGCTGCAACCAAAGCTCCTGTTACAAAGTGTTGGCCAGCAGTTGCCAAGCGTTTTTTCGCAGATCAATGTGATGGGCAAGGCCCAGAGCACGTGTTTTTGTTCAATACTAAATGAACTTTGCTTCATCAGGCCTCTACTTGCTGAAGTTGGCAACCAGGTTTGCGCGTTGTGCTCAAAACTGCTGCCACTTTGATTGATCGCGCGTTGCCTGCCTACATTCTAGCTTTCAAAAACCGCGTTTGCGCCCAATTTTCGCGGCCTTTTGTTTTTTTCGGCATCCTCACAGCCGTAGCGCGCAGCTCTTGGCCAAAAGCAGGGCTTGAACGTCGTGTCATCAGTTATGTTTTCGGCATCCTTTCAGCCGCAGCTTCCTCAGATTGACATCTCGGCCTCCTTTCAGCCGCAGCTCCCTCGGCGTACTTGCAGCCGCAAATAGCCGCTTGCCATGATCTGTTCTTCTCTTTCATTTCGTCATTCTTAGCGCCACCCCGCTTCGAACTCATCAGCGCTTCTCACTGACAAGGCAAACGCATAGACACCCATAGCCCGGTAAAGCCCGATGGCAGTCACCAGAAACGTGTCCAGGCCAGAGTCAGGCGGAGGCGCCAGCATTGCCCGCACCCTCTGGAGCACCTTGACTGAGCAGTTGAGCTCCTGGTGGAAGCGCAGCGCCCCAGTCTGCGACTTCTGAGACGCATCCCAAGCTGTCGTCAGCATGGACGTCTCCACCACCAAGTCAAGGTCACCACCGTGGCGCCCAGCCAAAAGCCTGCAGGGGACCACACTGGCAGCTGCAGAGCTCTCCACCATGACACGGATGGACGTTAGCATGTCAGCCACACAAAAGATCGTCTGGGACCACTCCGCATCATGGCTTGTGGCACGGCAAATCTTTACGGCGCACTCTCTCACCGTCTCCAGCTCTGCTGTCACCCAAGAAGCCAGAACGGGCTTTGTCAGGTGCTCCTCCAGCGTGCGCACCACATAGTCCAAGAAACCAACGCTCAGCTCCATGACCGCTGATAAGGCAACGAGAGGCGCTTACAAGCCACGACTGGCACGACTGGATGTCACGGCAAGCAGAACCTTCAGCCTCCCGGTTTCGCAGCAAGTTGCAAAGCAATGATCCACGACAGGCATGAAGGAATTAATTTAATATGTTGTCGGGTTTCAGCTTAAGGCTTTGAAAGTAAAACCCTGGCTTCCGGGCATCCGCGCAGCTCTTGGCCAAAAACAGGGCTTGAACGTCGAGTCACATCATCAGTTATGTTTTCGGCATCCTTTCAGCCGCAACTTCCTCAGATTCACATCTCGGATCATCTCGGCCTCCTTTCAGCCGCAGCTCCCTCGGCGTACTTGCAGCCGCAAATAGCCGCTTGCCATGATCTTTTCTTCTCTTTCATTTCGTCATTCTTAGCGCCACCCCGCTTCGAACTCATCAGCGCTTCTCATTGACAAGGCAAACGCATAGACACTCA